TGGTGTGCTGCCCTTGTGTGAGCTCTCTTACTGTCCGTAAACTTAAAACTAAAATCATCCATAAAACAAACTTTATTATTCTCACAGTTTCATTCATGGATCACTGAAGGTTTGTACACAAATAAAAGCTTTTTCCTGCCTCAGAATGAACCCACTGTGTTATAAAATATTTATTTCATCTCCAAAAGAACAAAATGCAGTGCAGAGCGTGTGATGTCATCTGCCGTGGTCCCTCCAGTGCTGAACAACACCTCTATATTTTGTCTCCTGTCTGTGTGTGTTTGTCTACTTTTGTGAGTTTTGGTTTCCTCCTGGTTTATGTTTATTTTGGAGATGGTGGTTTCCCACATTTTCAATCAGTAATGCAGCAATAAAACTCTGGCTCCAACTCGCTGCCTGATTGTTCTGCCGGTGGTTTTCTAGTTGCCTCTGTTTCTCATGTTCTTCCCTCAGTTGGACTTTGTCTTTTCCTCTGTCTCAGAGATCATCTGCTAGCTGGCCATCGCTCTCTCGCTGGATTTCTTTGTTGGAAAATGGACTCATGGCTCAGTTCTGTGCAGAAATATTGATGCTCACAGACCTTCAGCTCTGGCTGTGTGTTTTCTCTCTTCTATAGAAAATCTGAAGAAATCAAATCTGTGTTAATCATTTGTAGGTTTCTCTGTATTTCAATAGTCACACAAAAAACAGTGAATTATTATCAGACAGTATTTATTCATAAATCACTGAAAGCTTTTATACACAGGTGTATCCTATTCTGACACGTTGTCAATATTACATTTTGATGACAAGTTCTTTTAAATTTAAGATAAAGCATTTGGGGAATCATGTACCTGATCATCAGTTATTGTGGTGCAGCTGCACTCAGCCTCATTTCTCTTTGATTTAAGTTCAAACATTTGTTTACAGCCTTGATTTTTGACACTTAGTCTCACTGACCTCAAAACACTAACAAGTCACGTTTTAATCATACATCGATACAGCATTTCATTCTACACGCTTCAACTATTTAATTCGTCATCTTCTTCTTTTGGTAGACAAACAAGCAGACGGCCGTAGTGATCGATGTAGCGGTTCTGAATGACAGCAACATCAGGAAGAAGGAACACGAGAAGCTGGAGAAGTAACAAGGGCTCAGAGAAGAGCTCGAGAGGATGTGGAGGGTGGAGGTAACGGTGGTCCCCGTGGTAATCGGAGCACTCTGTGCGGTGACTCCCAAGTTATGGCTCCAGCAGATCCCGGGAACAACAGCGGAGATCAGAAGAGCGCGGTCCTAACAGGAACAGCTGACAGCTATGTGTGTGTGTTTGTGTAAAACAGCAGCTCCAGACTGTTCAAAATGATTTGTTTAAAATAAATGAACAGCAGGAATCAGGATCAGCAGGTGAAGTCAAAATGAGCTAAGTCAATTTCTATGTGCCACAGTGTCACGTATAGCCTGAGCGAGGATGCGTACACCACCCATGACAAAGAGTTCTGCGAGTTCCACCTGCAGGAGGAAAAACGTCGTTTAGTTTTTCTGCAGGAACATTATGAGCAGATTATTGTCGTCAGTCAC